ATGAATTTGATAAGACTTATAGTCCAAATGAAGCCATATGGTGGTACACAAGACATTGCTTTTTATTTGAAATATTGAATAAAGCACTTCGAATTCAAGACATTGATATTCTATTTAAATATCGTTTTTTCTTAACTGATCTTCATAATCAAATAAAACAGTTACATTCAGAGTCTGTTCAATCATTTCCAACAAAAAATATTGACAATGAACCAAAAACAGTGACTGTGTATCGCGGCCAAGGCATAAATGTAGATGAGCTTGAAAACCTAACGAATAATCTTCGAGGGCTTTTATCATTCAACAACTTTTTATCCACAAGTACCAATCCAAAAGTAGCACTCATGTTCCTCCCAACTAGATCGGATCTTCAATCTGTTCTTTTTGAAATAATTGCTGAATATCGTCAAGACACAAAACCATTCTGTAGCATTAATGACATAAGCAACTATAATGAAGAAGAAGAAGTCCTTTTCTCTATCGGAAGTATATTTCGAATTGAATCAATTGATAACCTCAGCAACGGAGTCACGAAGATAAGCTTGACATTGACTACAGACGAGGATGAACAGCTGAAGCAATTAAGACAACACATTCGCATGGAACTCGGAGAAGTGTTAAACCTGAACGCCCTTGGTATACTCATGCTAGACATGGGAGAATATCGGTACGCTCAACAATATTTCACAAAATCAATTCAAAACCACCAGCTAGCACACCATGATATTCCACAAAACTACAATTATATCGGACTAGCTCATACTAAGAACCCTGAATACGATAAAGCATTACAGAATTATGAAAAGACACCTGAAACTAAACTAAAGTCATTGCCATTCAATCATCCATCATTGGCAACTACATATAATAATATTGGATTAGTTCTCCATGAGAAAGGTGAATACGATAAAGCATTAGAGAATTATGAAGGACACTTGAAATTCAACTCAAGTCATTGCCATCCAATCATCCATCATTAGCAACTGCATATAATAATATTGGATTAGTTCTCTATCAGAAAGGTGAATACGATAAAGCATTAGAGAATTATGAAAGGGCACTTGAAATTCAACTCAAGTCATTGCCATTCAATCATCCATCATTAGCAACTACATATAATAATATTGGATTAGTTCTCCATGAGAAAGGTGAATACGATAAAGCATTAGAGAATTATGAAAGGACACTTGAAATTCAACTCAAGTCATTGCCATCCAATCATCCATCATTAGCAACTACATATAATAATATTGGATTAGTTCTCTATCAGAAAGGTGAATACGATAAAGCATTAGAGAATTATGAAAGGGCACTTGACATTGACCTCAAGTCATTGCCATCCAATCATCCATCATTAGCAACTACATATAATAATATTGGATTAGTTCTCCATGAGAAAGGTGAATACGATAAAGCATTAGAGAATTATGAAAGGACACTTGGAACGAAATGAGAGTAATCCCTTTGAATACTCTGTTGAATGGTATATAATTTAAAAACTTCGGTAAAACATGGACCAGTTATAGTTAAAAATATTAAGGTATACATTTCCGGAAGTTTATTCGACACGAGAAAAGCTTGTATGACTTTACAAGAAAAGATGCAGAAGTACTTAACTTGCGAAAAATAAAAAATACAGACAAGTTCACCCTGCACAGACTTGATGAGAAAAGATTGCAGAATGTCGCAAGGTAGACATGGCGGACAAAATCCACAAGCTACAAGTTTTTATCATCATGAAAAAATCCTACAGACGTTGCAGGGTTTGCTTATTGAGATATCTTGTGTATTACAAGTGATAACACGAAGGAAAAAATTCCGCAGGCTTTGCAAAGTGAAGCATCTGCGAGATATACCGCATG